TTTTTCAATAATAAAAAGGGAGTTGCTCTGCGGGGCCCCTAAAGCTTGTGAAAAATTAAACTCGACGGATTCAAACTGTCCTATTTCCACTTCAAAAGGGAAGAGGCACTGAGCTCTTCCCAACTTATCTTCAAACGCCCAGCACCCTAGAAAGTTTCTGTAAAAAAATAAAGGCTCCTGTTCCCCCAAGCACTGTGCCGGTTACCGAGCCCACGGTCTCTCCCTCCACTAATTATACCCCTGTGAGTCTATTAATCAACTGCTAAATTATTTAGCAAGGCATGCGCTGTCTTCTGCTCCTACAAACACAGCGCACTCCCAGGCTTGCTGGGAGCGGGCCGGGGCCCCCAGGGTCTCCCCTCCGCGGGAAGACAGCTCGCAGTCTGCGAGGATGCATGCTCCAAACAAGAAACAGCATCCGCTTACCTCCTCAGACTGGAGATTTACTCTGTCTTTCAACTCGGCAACTCTTGGCAAGTTTTTAACAAAAGAGAAAAGCTGATCTGTTGTCGGATCTTTCGTGTGCATTTAGTGATAAGAATATTAACTCACCCTCAAAAATGAAGCACTGATCCCCGCCACCTGGGACCTGGGCTCAAGGAAGGCTCTCGAAATCGCTCCTAATCATCGCAATTTGGGGCAGCGGGGGTGTGCTGGGGTGAGGACTCATTTATCAGGGAGTGTGAGAGTCAGAGTCCCGGATGCCCTCAGATCTCCCACCTCTTCTCTGTCCTAGGAGGCGGTGAGGGGCCCTGCCCAGTCAGGAGCACTCAGAAATAGAGGGCTGTGAAGGTGGGGACTCGGGTGCACCCCAATAATGACTTGTGTCCCCCATAGCTCTTTGACATATCGGGACTCTCGCTTTTAGGGAGCAGTCATTACCCTAACTAAATGGCTGTGTTCTCGCCTGGAAGCAGGCACGCAATGGAGCCTTCCCGGATGTGAACTTCCACTGCCGAGGTGGGACAGGTGAGCACCTGTGCTGCGGGCTGGCCGGCAGGGTCCCGATGGGACACTCCCGACATGCTCTGAGCATGCTGCAGGCAGAGGAAGACCAGCACCTCACACACCAGGGCAAAGACCAACCAGGACACAGCCTGTGGCTGTTTTTCACCTCATCCCTGGGCAGCTGCTCTCCAGAGGCAGCACAAGGGGATAACATTGACCAGAGCCGCACTGAGGAGAGGATGGGGGAACCACTAATTAGACCCCAATCTGGAAGTTGGTTATATCTACCATCAGCAGCTGCTGGACCCCAATGTATGGCGGAAATTCCCTGGAGGCAGGCTAAAAATAAACCAGCACAGCCTTCCCTGGGGCGGGTGAGCTGGAGAAGCGGGGTGAGCCTGCGGGGGGCCGGTGCTCACGAAGTGAGAACTGGGAAGTGAGATGTTCCAAAGGGCAGACACTGTGTCCGCCTTCCCGGAAAGCCTTCGGGTAGGCGGGAGGCCGCGGGGAAGGGGCAGGAGGTGCATCTGCTGGGGGTTACCACGGGGAGCCTGGAGGGATCTGCGCAAAGAATCCAGACCTCGTAGCTGCGTTGCTTGATTCTCAAAAGGAAAAGACACCTGGACGCAGGGGCAGGGCAGACGCCATCTGGGCCAACCTCCGCATTTTAAGCCATACAGAAAGGCTGAGAACTTGCTCTTCCGAAGCCCAGTTTCTTGCCCAGGTAACAGGGACAGCTTCTCGGCAACGAAGGCTGCGTGATTGAAGCTCGACCCTGCTCACCTGCGCAGGCCGAGCCCCCACCGCTCTCACAGCAGCGGCTGCACAAAGAGCGCTGCGCCACTCTGGGGAATAAATTTGTTCTGTGCGCCGCAGCTGCAGTCGGACTGGGTTTAGGAGGTCAGACTTAGATATCTCAAAGTCCTGGGCACAGAATAAGCCTCATCCCGCCCCTCTGTCCACAGCACTGTCACCAAGAGTCTGGGTTCGAGGGATTGAGGACGAGCCAAAACGGGGCCTTAAAGAGTCCTTTGCCCAGACAACATGAAGAGATGGGAAAACGGCGCAGATATGAATTCTGCTGCTGACGGGAAAGGTGGAGGTGTTGGCAGCACCTGCGGGGACTGAAAAGGAACATCACCAAGTCTGTAGAGGTGGAGGCGGGGACACAGCGTCCCGAGGCCCTGGGGGGAATAGGGTCAGCGGCTCTGTCGGGGGGAGACGAGATCTAACTGTGCCAGGCCAAGCGGCCACGATGGCAGCGAGCATGTTGAGGGGGGCAGAAGGGCACAACCACGTCACGACCAGGCGTCTCTGGAGCAACACCCCAAGGTGAGTGGAGGGGCCAGGAGCCTGCGACGCCAGGGGTTGCCAGGTAACCAGGAGGACAGCAACATCCCCAAGGTGGAGGGCCAAGTGCCCAGAGGGGCGGCAGGAGTGTCCCCAGGAGGAGCACTGCTGCTTTGGGGTGCTGAGGATGGGGTCCCACACCACATGGCCAGATGGTAGGATGCGGGGCCGTGTGCACGCTGGCCTCTGACACATGGTCACAGGGTCTCTCACCCTTGCCATACCCTCTGCCCCGGGAGTGGGACTCCCTGTGCCTCGTGGGCCTTCAACATCACGTGTAAAAAGTCCCCACAGGAGGCAGGAGCTGGGGAATGCTGGCAGCACGCGGGGCAGCAGACCAGAAAAGCACCTGGCATTCCCCTGAAGAGGGGAATGTGAGGTGCCTCAGTGGCCCCCAAAAGCAACCGAGGAGCAACCACCGTCTCCCTCTTCTGGGGAGGGTACACGGCAGGATGGGTGCCATCCGGGCCAAACACGCATTTTGAGCAATACAGAAAGGCTGAGAAAGTCCCGAAAGTGTTAGGGCACGTACCAGCCTGTCCTGAGTATTTCAGCAGGGACCTTCTGCCAGGGCTGGGAAGACTCCCTTCCGCTGCCGCCTCCACTCAGCAAGACTCTTCCTGTCCCCGTCTCCTCATCCTCACCCTCAAGATGTGGCCATTTATCAGGTGGCTTGCGCTAGGCCTGGCCTTGGAGGGCCCAACCGTGACCTTGGATCCCAGCCAACTGCACACTTGCCCCTCAAGGGTTCTGAACTCAGGGGTGGCTAATCACCGCCCCAGGCCCCAGCAGGGGGACCCCTGAGTCACAGATGCTGCTGCCACGCTAGGTGGGAAGCCTGGTGGCCCCAGGCACAGAAGTTACTCGGAGTGAGGGGGCTGTGGTTGGCTGGGCGGTTCCCGCCTCTGTCTGACTTTCCGAAGTGAATGCTTAGACCCGCTCAAGTGTTCTTCCTGTTTCCGCCGGGACTGAAGCAGCCCCACAGCCTGGGTGGTGCCTGCGCGGCTCCCGTGCCAGCTGCCTGCTTTGGTCTCCCAGCAGCTTCTCCACGGCCCACTAATGAGACCCTGTTAGCGGTTACGAATGTAAATGCATTCTTTGTCATCCCTGCGAGATCAGGATTAGCAAGGTGACAAAATTTATTGCTTCTGTTAGGAAGATATGATATTGGTTGCTGTTGTGTCTTTAATTTTGTAGGAAGAGCAAAAGTGTTGAGCTACACAGTCTAAATAAACACAAAGCAGTGGAAGCAAAAAAAAAAAAAAGCATGAAACACTGACGATCAAAGCTATCAGGTCTCGGACTTGAGAGGAAAGTGGGAAACGCGCACTTAAGTCTCCTTTGTAATCACCAACAAAGAAAACATCAATGAACCTCTGCAGCGGGACCACCGCTGACAGCTCAAATGGGTCTGCTGGTGCTGGGAGGAGCAGGCCGAGGTGTGCAAGGGTAGCCTGCCTGGGTTCACGGAAACGCATTTCTGCCTCTGCAAAGGAGGTAACTAACCTTTATTCCCTCTGACCCCCAGAAATAGGTCCAAGGATTCCTGTACACCCTTCCCCAAGACTTAGGGATTGTTAACACGGCCTTGTTGGTTTGGGCCTTGTCTTTGTTTTTGAATCAAATGCTGTGTTAGTGCGGAACTAAGCCTTCATCTAGTTATGAATACTACTGCACACAGCAAAACTCAAGACCACATAGACCTCTGCGGTCTTGCTATCGCTCGCCGCTTATTCAGCAAGTCTTCTGTGGGGCTCCCACAGCTGCCACCACCGCATCACCCTAGGCTGGGGCCTGGCGATTCTGGAGAGAAATCACAGTTAGGCACGCCGGGAGCTCTTCTGTGGCTGCTGCTCTTTCTGATACCTTTTTTCCCAGCAGCCAGAGTCATAAAGACCCTGCAAGGCAGGGGTTCCCATCTCCGTCAGCCGGGGCATCGAGAAGGCACGGTTGGGTCCAAGGGGCTGCATGGCTAGTGGGGACGGCACCCGAGTGCACTGGTTCCCACACTGCCGGAAGCTTCCTGTCTGGACCGGGTTCTCCAGGCCCCTGTGGCCCCTGCATCTGAGGCGCCATTTTCCCTGAGGTAATTATAGCTCTGCATCAGACGTGGTGACTGAGCTGCACGAGTGTATGGAGGCGCCACAGTGCTTTGTGTGAGAAGACAATGTGGCTGCGTGGCAGACACTGTCGCCAGGCAAATGTCGCAGGGCCTAGCAGAGCCCCGGCTGTGTGCCTTGGAGGCTCGGTGTCCCCTCTGAGGCCCACTGGTGGCCTCACGAGCCCAGATGCCCTTCCGGAGGCTCAGACCTGAGGGTTCCCTCAGGTTGCGGATGGTGGAGAGGATCCTGAAGCGTTATCAGATCCCCCGTCCAACGCCTGAGGACCCACAGCCGCCCAGGCTCCCCAGACAATACCCCTCCACCTCCAGGCCTCAGCCCGAGCGCTGGACGCCACGCGGTAAAGGAGGCGAAAGCTCTTGAGGCCAAGGGACACCAGTCAGGAGCAGCAAACCTTCTTGGGGAGCAGGGACCGTCCAGACCCCCAGTAGCGCCCACCACGTCCCCAGACCCCCTGGCCTGGCCTCAGCCTGGACGCCCACCCCTTCCCACGGGGCGAGCCACAGCGCCCTCAGGGCCAGGCGCACCCCGTCTCTCAGCCGTGGCCCTGACTTCGTGCCCCCAGGCGGGGCCGTGGCCTACCTGGCATCTCCTTGTCAAAGTAGGACTGGATGAGCTCGCCCAGCTTCGACTGGTCCTTCACGGCCTCTTTCAGCAACTGCCCACAGCAGACTGAGGGAGACGAGCAGAGACACATCGTGAGGTGTTAAACAGAAGGAAGGAGGAAGGAAGAAGGAAACCCCAGTGCAAAGCTGAGGCTGGGGGGCAAGGGGCTGCTGGAGGAAAACAGAAAATGTTCTTCTGCATGCGGGGATGTGCCCGAGTGAAAACAAACGTCAAAAACGGGCTGGGCCGTGAAAAAGAGGGGAAGGGGATGGGGATGTAGCTCAGCGGCACTGCTCCTGCCTCGCAAGTGCAAGGCCCTGACCTCGATCCCCGAAAACATTAAAAAAGAGAAAGATGTGGAACAAAAAGGAGTGCATTTGGCAAAGCACTAAAAACGGACGGTGTAAGAAGACATGAGTACGTCGCAACAGAAAGGCTCCTGGGATTGCTGAACAGAACTGACGCTCAGTGGGACGCTGCTAAGGATTCACACACCAGGGGAGGCCTGCTGACCCTGACAGTGTCACACGAGGAGGGTGGAACCACGGCAGTCCTTCCAGTGGGCAAGGCAGTTCCGGGGTCAGCAGGTCCACAGAAGAGGACCGAGCTGGGCGTGGCGGCACATCCCTGTCATCCCAGCACTCAGGAAGCTGAGGCAGGAGGATCGCCCCAAGTTTCAGGCCAGCCTGAACTACATAGGGAGATCCTGTCTCTAACAAACAAGCCCTCACAGAGAGGACCAGTCTACATACCAAGTCATTCATAATTAAAAGGCAGCAGCTGGAGTGACCTGGCCAGCGCCACTGTCCCCTTTGGATGTGTGCCCGTGGCAGCAGTGGACTTACTTTCCGTCCTGCCCTACTCTGACGCCAGCTGTGGGCACGTGGGAGTGGATGGTCAACAGGAGCAGAATGGAAAAGCACAGGCTCCCATCTCCTTGGCTTGGGAAGCCCTTACTCTGGCTTAGATCTAAAAACGTCCCCTGTAAGTGTCATGTGCTCGGAGGTGGGGCTGCAGAAGATGACTGGATGGCGGGGTGCTGCACTCTGAGTCCACGGCTCAGTCCACGGCTGAAGGTGCTGTGAGGAGGCGGGGTCTGCTTGGAGGTGGTCACTGGGGTGACTGGAAGGGTACAATCCCGTTCCCCAGGTCCTCCGTTCTCTCCTGGCCACCAGGACCCTCCACCATGCTGTTTCTGCCTCAGAGCCAGCTGACCAAGGACTGAGTCCTCTGCCAGCCATGAGCCAGGAAGTCTCTCCTCCTTTAGGTTGTGGGTATTGAGTATTTTGTCCCAGTGAGATAGGAGAGTGACAGATACAGCCCTCGACAGCCAAAGCCAGAAGACTTAAACTGTTTTTTTTGTTTGTTTGTTTGTTCTGCATTGTTTTTCCTGAGTTGTCAACTGCATCATCATGGTTTTTTTAACCTTCAGGGTTAAGGAGTCTATAAATGTATTTGAAACTTTAAAGGAAAAGACAGTCAAAATGAATGCACAGATGGGGAACCTCGGCAGACAAAGGGAAACTAAAAGTAGAACCAGAGGGAGACTCTGGCACTGGAAGATACAGTATCTTAAGTGAAAACAAGGTTATGGGATGAGCTGTAATCAGTGCATCTAAAGGCCGGAAGAGAAGCAATAAAAGATTCCAAAATTCAACAAAGAGGAAGTGAAAGGGCTGGGGGGAAAGAGCAGGAGCTCGGTGACTTGCATCTAAGGCACACGTCACTGGAGTCCCAGAAATCAGAGGAGGGGGCATAAAAATATCTGAGAAGACAATGGCAGGAGAAGTCCACATCGGAGGATAAACATCAGACCACACACCCAAGAGGCTCTGAGGCAAACACAAAATCAGCCACACACCCTCTGGCGCTGTAGCCAAATTGCTAAAAGCTACAGAGAGAAAATATTAAGCAGCTAGAGGGGAGAGAGATGCTTCATATACAGGGTAGCAATGACAAAAACTAATCTCAAACTTCTTATCAGAAGAAATGCAAGGCAGAAGACAACAGAATGACATCTTTAATGACCCGAGGCACTGGCGTGGGCTTCCTGAGATCTCGTTCCGCCTGGCATTTGTTTACAAGGAGCACCTCTGAGAAGTGTGAGTTTTCTGAATTTGTCTCTAAATATTCAATCATCTGTCTTGAAGTGGTAAGAGAGAAAACACTGACAAGATAGACCTATCTTTCTTTCTTTCTTTTGTTTTTTTGAGACAAGGTCTCACTATGTAGCCCAGGCTGCCTCGAACTTGTGGCGATCCTCCTGCCTCAGCCTCACGAGTGCTGGGATTACAGGCCTGCGCCACCATGCCCAGCTGTACATTGAAGGTTCTTATACATGACCCAGTATAACATTAATTCAAGAAGGACTCTGAGAAGCGAAGGATGCATGTGCCATCTCTAGAGCAATCACTAACGATCTAAAGCAAAGCGATGTGCTAAATATGACCACAGAGGAGATGCGCAGCACTACAGTCCAGTGGTGAGGCAGGAAGATCACTGAGAGTTTGAGGCCAACCTGAGCCACACATAGTGACACCCTGTGTCTGAAAAAGAAAAAAATTACCTTCGATGGACAGGCACTAATACTCCAAATAAAAGCAAGGAATGTCAAGCTGGATTTTTAAAAATAGCGAACTCCAATGCACGCTCTCTACAAGAACCCATGTTTAGAACATTAAGATGGGGGCAGCTCGAAAGAAAAAGATGACACGGCACGCCATGCGGACACAGGTTACAGGAAGTTAGAGGGCCACGTGAGTGCCAAGGGCACTGTAAGAAAATGGACATTAGAGAGGCGCAGGAACACTTCCTAGCAGTAAAACGATCACTTCACCAAGAAGAAATAACAGTGCTTCACGTGAGGCCCAAACTGGCAGAAAATAAGACAAATCCGAACTATAGAATTGGGGATTTTATTGTACGGGGAGCTGCAAGTAGAGAGAAAACCAGCAACGACTTGGAAGACTTGAGTGCCACACACATCTTATATAATCCCAGCACTTGGGAGGCTGAGACAGGAGGGTCGCCATGAGTTTGAGGCCAGCCTGGGCTACACAGCGAGACCCTGTCTCCCAAAGAATAAATAAATAACAATAGCAATAATAATTATATTTGTGGTCAGGATGTTCATTCACCCAAGGTTACTGTGTTTTGCTGTGGAGTCGGCGAGGCATTCTAGGGAGCAGTGGGCTCATGTAAAGGAGCCCAGCCTGGGACACAGCAAGGCCTGGGACTAGGCTGGAATCAGCCCTGCTGACGTGGGCTCCTGCCTCTGCCCTGCTGCGGGACTTACCAAGGCCTGGAGTTCCTTTTCTAGTTCTTCTACATCTGGCACTGTCTGTGTATCCAATAAAGTACGTTGTGTTCGGCAGGTGCTTGGTGAGAGATAACCCTGATACTCTGCTTAGACCTCTGTTCTCACTATAAAACCGAAGTCAATCAGAATTGCGACACGCTCTCAAGACCACCCTTTTGGGGCTCAGGTCTCTTCATGAGCCTACATGCAGGATCCTGTAAAGCAGAATGAAATCCCTCCCTTGCGAGGTGACCAACTACTTTCCGACCCCTCCCTCGCTTAGCGATGCAATCGGAGGTCGAGTGGCTTTACAGGCTTCTCCCCCATGAGTCTGAGGCTGCTTCTAGTTTTCCCCATGCACCCTTCACAGCCCGCACAGCACGCCTGAGTATTTCAGAAGAATCAAATCCCAGAGTGAAATCACTGGGCCCTCGTTAGCAACTGAACAGGGCAACTATGTCCTTTCAAAGAGCTCTGCCTTTTGGGTACCAACCAGCTACAACCACATCTTCGGATGAACCCTGCAGAGCAAAGGCTCCTTTGTGTTCCCCTGGCTTGGAGCCTCTGAAATGGGGGGCTCGGGGACAAGGTGGGGCACGGTGCCCAGCTGCCCATTCTGACCTGAGGTGCCAGCGTTGACTTCCTGAGATCTCGTCCCGCTGGGCATTTGTTTATGGCAAGCGCCTCTGAGAAACACAAACTTTCTGAATTCGTCTCTAAATGCTCAATAGCAGCTGGGGATTTAGCTCAGTGCTTCCTCCACCAGCCTCGCAAGCACAAGGGACTGAGTTTCATCCGCAGTACCAAAAACAAAAAGATTTTAGGGCTGGGGATTTAGCTCAGTAATGCCACAGCCTGCCTCACAAGCGCGAGGACCTGAGTTCGATTCCCGGTACAAAAATAAATAAAGCCAGTCTAAACGCTCAATTATCTAAAGGAGTCCCCTCGTGACTGGTAGGCTAAAAGCAATTTAGATTTAAAACTGCTTCCCTGAATGACAGCATCTACGGAAGCAGACTGCGGTGACTCATTCGGCCAACCCTGTGTGCCCTGTGCAGTGTTTTCATGTTTGCCCTCTCTCCCTGTATCTGTTTTTAAAGTTTTAATTCTTTTGGGGGCTACTGGAGATCTACCATGAAGCAACATCCCCAGTTCTTTTTATTTTGCATCTAGGGACAGGGTCTCCCGAAGCTGCCCAGGTGGCTTGGATATGTGATCCTCCTGCCTCAGCCTCCCTCTTTGCTGCGATTATAGGCATGCACCACCCGGCCTGCTTCACTACAGCTGTTCCTGTCCCACAGAACGTAGGTGCGGACACTTAGCTGAGCACGTGGTGTGGCCACAGGCAGACAGCTGCGCATTTCTAATCAGGAAGCCAACCCTCACCACTGCTGCAAAGTTGGTCTAATCAGTACTCTGAACATGTAAAATCAAGAAAAGAGATAATATGAATAACATTTAAAATGGATTAAGAAAAAGGATCTTTTTAAAATGTATAGTGTATAGACTCCGGCATTGATGAAATCTCCCCAATAATTGCTGTTTTCTTTTTTCCTTTTGAGACAGGAAGGGTCCAGCAGTGTAGATCAGGCTGGCCCTGAACTCACTATGGAACCCAGGCCCCTGGCGATCTTCCTGCCTCAGCCTCCCAGAGTGCTGGGACGACAAGCATGCACCACCACACCTGGCTTCTTTTTTGGGTGTGAGTCTTGTCACTGATTCCTGGCTCATCTCCATGGCTTTGGAATTTTAGGTCGGAAGAAGCCTCATTATTTTTAAAGGACCCAAATAAAGAGCATTTTGATTTAAAACATCAATCTTCTGGGTGCTATCTATATGAACATGAATATATCTGTATGTGCATACGTATTCTACATATATTTGCATGGTGGTGCGTGTGATTTGGGGATCTATACATGCAGTTTACCTATTTGGGGGTGCAGGGCCCTGGCTTGCTTTGGAAGCTGGGACTACTGAGGCGTGAATGGGGGCAGCGGCCTTACTGACGTCCAACCCCACGCCTGCTGCTGTCCCTCCCTCCCCTCCTGCTCTTGAAGCTCCTGAACACAGACAGCCTCTGAGACCACCTGGGACACCTCAGCAAAGACCTGGAGAGCTGATTTCAATATTTTCTCGCCTCCTGGTAAAATATTTATTGAAACTGTGCTGAGCGAGACATCTTCCCCTGGTTCAGAAACTGTTGGCCTGTAAACACCTGACGTGGGCTGGGGGAGCCGCGTGAGACCACAGCAAATAAACCTGCAGCCGCTGCCCGTGTGTGAGCTGAGGCCCCACTGAGGGGGAACCTCAGGGGCACGGAGAGGTGCCCAAGGGCCCAAAAATGATGACCGACAGGGCTTCAGACCTGTTTTCTATCAGTTAATGTCTTTATAGCTATGTTCTTCAAGAGGACAAAAATCTTTTCTCTGCACAGACAGACTTGCTGGTGATGCTAAGAACAAGAGCTCAAGACGAGGCCTGGTTCTGAGCCGCCCTGCCCTCCCCAGGCCCATGGGTGCAGGAGCCTGGGGCCCCCAGCACTCACCGTTGACAAGGCCGTACTTCTCGGCCAGCAGGGCAGCCTGCAGGCTCTTGCCGCTGCCTGTGGGCCCACACAGCAGCACCCTCGGGGTGAACGGGGCATTGGAGCGATGGCTGGTCAGCACGTAGGTCAGAGCTGCAGGGGGGACAGGACAGTGAAGGCAGGTTCCAAAGCAAAGGGAGCTGGTGCCCAACACTTGTGCTTTGGCTCTGTGATTATTTCTCTTTGCCTCTGATGGTAGCCCAGGAGAAGAGCAGTGGGAACATGACCTGTGCGTCAGGCCTGGGCACCAAGGTGGGCAGGGAACGGCGGGTGAGACCCCCAGAAGCCGTCCTCTGAGCCACCCCGGGTTCTCTACAGCACAGCAGTGTCCACACTGCATCCAGGCTGAGCCTCTGTCCAAAGCCCCGGCCCGGGATGGTCTCCTGAGTGAGGCGCATGCTGGCTTCCTGCACGATGTGCCCAAGGGTCAGACGCAGGCTTTGTGTGCAGGGACTTCTGAAGGTCCAGGGGTTTGTGGAGAATAATCTGCGCAGCCACACGCCAGTGACACCAACTTCGCTGCAAGTCTCCAAAGCGGGCAACGAGAGAGGTCACTGGAGCGTGCAGATGCAGCTGCTCAGCCCTGGCCTGAGGTGTGCCCTGGCATTTCATGAACAAAGTGGTGGAGCGGTCGGGGTGATTGTCCCCAGCAACCAGGAGACCCCGTACCGTGGGAGGTGCCAGACGCCGACAAGTCATGAGGCAAAGCTACTGAATACCAAATGGGCCATGTTCCTCAAGGGGAGCAGCGAGGACAGGCTGTAAAAGGGCAGACTTTCAGGCACCTGCACAGAGGAGCTGGCCTTCAAAACAGGGCTCCCTCCCCCTGCCTCCTGCCTGCCAAAGCCCCAGACCGTCCCATGCCCATCCCGTCTGCCACTGCAAATGTCCCTCCTGGGATTCCATCCTGGGCGAGCGAAGGGATATGGTCCCCAAGAACCAATCAAGGGATCTGATTTTGGGGTTTGTCAACCTCACCACTGTGGGCATTTGGGACCTGCTAAGCCAATAACCCCATTTTATTGACCCAAAGTCCCATGACGGAGGTGTAATTCCTGCTCAGAGACCGGGTGGGTTTGGGGCCACTCTCCCAGAGCCAGCGCCACGGGCACCATTTCCCGACGGAAAGGCCCCACACGAGGTGCCCACCAAGGCTCCCGATTCTCAGGAAAGCACAAACACTGCAGGCGAGGCAGCCTGCTTACTGATGCTTAATTCACAGTAAATAACTAAGTTAATTAGAAGTAATGATCCCCTAGACGGTCTCCACATCTAATTATTCTTTTTACAAATATGTGGCCGCTGGATGCTCTGCAGAGAGATTAAAAAAACAACACAGAGAGAATTTTGCATCCCAATCTTCAATCTCTGCGCTTTATTAATTAATAATAATTAATATTCAGATGCTCACATTTTTATTTACAATTCGGGGCATGAATTCTTTATGCACGATCATATGAACTTTTAAATTTAATTAAGTAATTTGGAAGTAATTAATGTGTAAATTCAGAATCATGGCATAAGATAAATGTGGCGGTTATTTCTCTTAAAATGCAGGGCTTGCTGCTAAAGACCCTTCTGAGATGCTGGCCTGGCAGTTTCTAGAGTCACTTTCCAGGAGACCGGCCGCTGGGTGGCGGCTGACGGCCACACACCACACACCGCAAGCCTGCAGCTGGAGACCGAGGCGGAAGGGTTGCAGGGAAGCACGTGGGGGTCTCACCTCCCCTTCCCTTCAAATTTGAGAGCACAAATGAGAAAAGGCCTTTGCGAGCCATCACGCATAGCAGGACTGTACTGAGTCCAAACGCACTAAATGCTTCATGGATACGTGGTATCCATGGGGCCAGAGATAGAGTTTGAGAAGACAGACTTAAAAATGGCAGCAAAGCTACTTCCGGACCGGATTATCCTGGGTCCCCTTGCCCGACGAGGACAGGATGTTGAAGGATGATAACACAGCTACGGGGCTCAGGTACACGGAGCCTTCTTGGTCCCCACTGTGAGGGAGACTCTCACGTCACCCTGCGGCAGCTGGGAGGAAGGCGCAGGCTTTGTTCTGATTTCAGGATAACAAAACAAAGGCCGCCAGGGGTGAGGAGAGGCACCGAAGACAGAGAGGCCAAATCCGAGGGGCTGGACTTCAGCAACTTTCCAAGTCCCAGGCGCCACGTCTCCCCCGGCACCCCACGGGCCACTGCAGGCTGCAGAATCACATTTGTCGTTGCTCAGGGAGCCAGTGCGGCACTGGGCGTGGGGTAGCTCTGCGGATCCACCTTGTGGGTTTTGTTGTCATTATTTGGTTTGTTTGGTGGGTTCGTCTGTTTGTTTTAAATCTGTTCGTTTTCCCTTCCTACCCCTTCAAGGTCAGGCCTACACTTCTTCCTGCCCAACCTCACCACCCTGGGCGGCACTGTGAAATCCTCCTCGGCGGCTGCAGACGGGGCCACACCCAGGTGCAGGCCATCAGCCCAGTTCCAAGGCTCCTGCACAGGAAACCTGTGCCTGGACCCCTGGCGCCCTGGCACGTCTGGCTACCGCCACCCTGGGTGGTACTGGATGGGCAGGGTGGTGAGCGTGGCCCTCAGATGAGGCCGGGCTGCCAGACTGTACTCACCCTGGTAGAAGACGTCCACACAGGGCTGGTCAGCGCTGATGGCCTTCAGGATTCTGGGGTAGGAGGGGAGGATCCTGATGATGTTCCTGTGGTATTCCAGCAGTTTCCGAGCTGTCTCCACCTCCGAGATGCCCTCAGGCGCCAGTAGGCGGTTCTGCACTTCGGCTTCAGGCGGCCAGTCGAAGGTGGTGTGATAGATTTCTGAAGAGAGGGGCACCACTCATCACCCCAACTGCGAACTCGGGGGGCACAGATAGGGTGAGGTCGGCAGAAAGCTCCCGTCCCGGCCTGCTATCTGTAGCCAGGGCCACACGCACGCCAGGTGCTGCACAGCACAAGCCACCTCCCTGAAGCTACCATGGTGGATTTCCAGTGTCCTCCAGCCCAGAACCCGGCTCTGACATCTGAACCCGCGCCTCTCTGTGTCCTCGGCGGGTACTCCTGGAGCCTTCTGCTCCAGAAGCCCCCCAAATGCGGGGTGCGGGGTGCCCCTACCTCTGGTTACAGGGTCGATCCTCTTCCCCAGGTTTCGCTCGATCAGGACAGAGTCTGGAGCGTTCAGCACGACTGGGAGGGAAGAGGCCGGGTCAGGGGGGCGGAGGACGAGTGCTACACCCCTGCACCTCATGGACCCTCGTTGTCCACTGCCACTAAAGCCACCGCCTCGCCAGGTCGGAACTCGCGGAGAAAAGGCCCTCTCGGCCACACAGGATGTGTGGGGACCCGGCCAGCCCAGGACCGAGCTGCTTCCGGCTGCTTTTGAACACCTTTGTGCCTGCGCTTCCGCTATGCTGCCCGGCGGGCACTTCCACCACGCTTCCCCGGCGCTTCCGCCACGCTTCCCGGCACTTCCTGCAGAGCGTTTCTCAGATTATGGGTTCCGGGGATTAGGAGGAACCCCTGGGGTGAAAACAGAACCCCACTCTTCCTAAGGACCAGCCCTGAATAAGCCGGCTCTGTGACCGGGGAGTGGATTTAACCGATCCCGTCTTGTTCTTGCTGGGTCATAGGTGGCTGGGCTGGGGAGCGGGGCGGGGTGCCCATCACGGGGTACTCACTGACGTGCCGGGGGGCGAACCCCAGGGTCTGCATCATCAGCACCTGCTCCCGAGTCTGAGGAATGCCATCCAGGATCCAGCCCTAAGCAGAGGATTGGGAAAGTGGCGCCTTGGCCTTTTTTATTTTATCGCGGTACCAGAGATCAAACTCAGGACCTTGTGCTTGCAAGGCAGGCGTGATGCCACTGAGCTAAATCTCTGGCCCCTCTGCCTTCATTTCAGATTTTCCAAATTTAAAAAGAATATAACAGCTTTAGAGAAGGACTGGATTCTTCTTTTCTTCACATAGGATCTCACTATGTTGCCGAACCTTGTCTGGAATCCTGGGCTCAATCAATCTTCCTGCCTCAGCCCACTGAGTAGCTGGGACTACAGGTGCAGCACCACGCCAGCTTGGATTTTTTTTTTTTTTTTTTTTTGACAGAAGGGAGTAAATGTTTCTGATAACCACACTAGTCTTCCATAATAGCTACTCTCACTGTTATAGCCCTTTCCTCTTCTATGTTCACGATGATGATCATAACATATTTTTTCCGGTTTTTTTTGGGGGGGTACCAGGGATTGAACTCGGGTCGTTGCGCTTCCGAGGCGGGCCACCGAACCACCAAGCTAGATCCCCGGCCCTTTTCTGTTTTTTTATTAGCTCATATGCGTTTGCAGTACACGTTTACATTCCTCACGGGGAGTCGGTACTCGCACACGACACATCTGAATTCCTTTCGTAGCCTCTCCCCCAATGCTCCCTCCATCCCTTGGTCCCCTTCCCTTTTGCAAAAGACCCATCTCCCTGTTCCCTATTACCTATCTTTCAGTTTGCTCTTTATTTATAGTTTGGGTTCCTCGTATAAGAGAAACCATGGGATACTTAAGCTTATGCGTCTGATTCTATTTCACAGCATTATGTCTCAAGGTGCACCCATCTCCCTACAAATGACGCAAGTTTATCCTTCTTTATAACAGTCCTACTCCACTGTGCATACACACATTTTCTTTATCCATACATTTCATGTCCTGATTTATTCCCACAACATTCCATAGCTACCACAAGCATTTTTTTTTTCCATACCGGCCTGGCTCATGATGCCTCCATTTTCAGTGGCTTACATTCCACCAAGTGAGCACCTGAATTGAATCTTGTGATTGCAAACAATTTCCACTACTATTAATAACACTGTGATGGAAAGTGTGGCTTATTCCACCAAGTGAGCACCTGAATTGAATCTTGTGATTGCAAACAATTTCCACTACTATTAATAACACTGTGATGGACATCTTTGTGCATACAGCTCTCTCCACATTTTGAATCCTCTCCTAAAGAGAGTTTCTGAGATAGATTTTTAAGGCACAAAATCAATAGGATCAAATCAAAACCTCACTTTCTTAAAAGAACAAACCCTGAAGTGTTATCTCAGGAGACTTGAGTTCAGACATTCGTCTCTTCTCGGTACAGCTACGGTGGTGGTGTAACAGGTTCGTTTCTATTAAGTCTTAAAATCCAGTTCGGAAAGGAATATACAATTACTGTGTACTGCATGGAAATGCAGAAAGCCTAATGCAGGTCACCGAGGAACACCGAAGACCCTAGCAAGCCTCTGTGAACACTCTGGCTCACTTCCTTCCACATATTGTACACAGATATCTTTTTTCCCCCCCTGGGGGTGAGACACACACCCTGTACATCTCCTTTGCAATCTGCCATTTTCACCAAGCAGAAACATCTCGTGAACCTTTCCCAGGTCACAAAATGCTCATCCTTGTAAATCTTCACAGCTGCCTGGTATCCCACAAATGGATCTACCAGACCCTAACTGATCCAGTATTGCTGCCCATTTGGTTTGATTCCAGTGTTTCACCCTTATTTTAAAATGCCACACATAGATCTTCATGTATATCACATACCCTCAAGATACATTTCTAAAAGTTGAGGTTTCCCGTTGTGGCTTTTTATATATCTTGCCAAACTGCTCTACAAAACCACCTGGCCAGTTTATCAGTCCAGTGGCACAGGGCCCTTTTCCCTGGGTCTTTGTTAACATCGGACATTTGCTTGGGGGAAATCTTTCCAGAAAGACACTATCTACTGTTACTTCTTTCATTTACACTTCTTTGATCATTAGAATATTTTTTCCCTATGTTTATTGACTCTGAATTTCATTTCTTTTCCAAGATATCTACCCATTCCACCTAACCACATTCCCTTTGGATGTCATCCTTTTGGTTATGTATAAGAGCTCTTTACATGTTGAGAATATTAAGCCATTTTGGCAAACACTGCCAGATCATCTGAAGCAAACAGTGTTGCCAACGTCTCATCTGTCTGTCTGTCTGTGGTCGTTAACACCCTGGCTTAAAGCTAAGCTAATCACTGCTTTTCGTTTTGGATTGTCACCGTGTGGGTTCAGGAAAAGGTCCTCCCCGCATTCAGCCACGTTTCCTTTCCCGAAGGACGTGAAGCTGCACCAGACTCTGCCAGCAGCCTCGCCCCATTCTGCGCCTCTCCTCCTCTTCCTCGGTGTTGCTTTCCTCACAGTCTCATGATGATCTGCCCGCCTGTGGATCACTGAACTGCTTTACCCTTGTAAATGGCGGCTGCTTTATAACTGACGGTTACATTGAATGTGCCCTCCCTTCTGCTTTTTAAACCATCCTTCCAGGTGAGCATCAAAAAAATATTTTGTCAAGCTTTGGAGCAGAAATTCTGTGAGGGTTTTAGAATGATGTGAAATGCGCAGATCAATTCATGAAGAACTGACACTAACTGCACGGAGTCGACACGTTTAGCTTCTCATTTGCTTGTGTTGTCTTCTTCTGTCCCTCAGCCATGTTCTCCTTAAACAAGTTCGAAAGTCTTTTTAAGTCCCGCACATCTAGTTAGACACACACTTGTGCACACACTGTTCGGTGCTTCAGACGCCAGCATTGAGAGCAATCCGCGAGGTGGGCTTTGCGAGAGGAAAATAAAGCAACAATTGCTTCACGTCCCCATTTTGCAGGGAAGAAGGCCAGGCAACCAGAAGCTGCCGCTGAGGAGGCTGACGCTGGGTCCCTCAAAGAAACCCCCTGGTCGGAGACCCCTCTTGGCGCTAGAAGAACGGGGTGCTCTCAGGTCAGTGGCGAACTCAGACCCCCGGTCAGCCTCATTTACAGGGCACGGTGTAAGTGTCGAGGTGTAAGAGTCTGATTTACCCACCACGGTGTAAGCTTCCATTAAAAAGAAAAAAAAAGTGCCTGCATTTCTTCAATATTAAAATATCCGCGTTCCAACAGCCTCTGACAATTAAAAAAAAAGAAGCTAAACAAATGTACAGCCTAAGAATTGGAAACATCAGGCAAGCTCGGGCAAGGTTTTATTAATTTCTTAAGTTATACAGGAAAACACAGCCACGAACCCCTGATTTCTGGAACTAACGAAGCAAAAGTGTAAAAAAAAATGTTTTGAACAGTCTTTTGCTCCCCCAAGTCCTTGTTACAGCCAGGCAAACGCGGGGCTGCAGCTCTTAGAAAGAGCAAAATCTACAGATGTGAGCAACTCCACAGGAACCGGAGACGCTGCACAGGAGGCCTCCCTCTCTCTTACACTTGTGGGAGCTGAACACACACATTTGCTAGCTAAATCCAGCTAAATTTTAGCTGAATCCAGACCCCCTGATTTGAATCACAAGCCCCTTGATTGCAGCTTCTCTGACCAGGGCTGGTGGTAATTCTGCTTGAGTCACTTTTTAAAACTGGAAGGTGGTTGGAACTCTGCCGTTGCTCAACACCAGAAAGATCTCTGCTTTTCATATTGCATTGCCGGGCCAGAGATTTAGCTCAGTGGTTCTGCCACCTGCCTCGCAAGAGCAAGGTCCTGATTTCGATCCCCGATACCCCCTCTCCCACAAATTGCATTGCTGAGCAATCATTATTCATCTTGAATCTGCAGTGGATTATCAGTATATGGTCCAAAGCTTTCAGAACTATTCAGGGGAATGGCTCTCGCTGGCTTCTCACTGGAGAAAGCGGGACTTCCAGTTACCTGGAAAAGTACAGCAAAACGAGAATCACCTCGCAGTGTAGCCTGGCCTCACAGGTGACATTCAGGGCAGATGGGAGATTTTAGGAAGCAGGTGGGGGGTTGTGACACGAACTGCAGGCCAGCAGCTCCCCGGGTCTGCCTGAGGAATGAGATCCCTGTGGGTTCCTGGGGAAGGCGCTCAAGGAGACTCAGCCTGGTGTGGCCCATGTGGGACAGACAGTGCCTTCATGGGGCCACTGGTACGAGGCCACATCAGTCCTGGAGCAGCCTCAGGATGGAAGCCCCGGGCTTGGCAGCGCAGAAAGGATCATCTTTCCCAGGATCTCTGCATTGGGAGAGGTTATTTGCCTGAGTGACTGCATTTTTCAGGGGAAACAGCAGTTTTGGCAGACAGCATTTAGCCACACATTCTGCTCAAGCACAAAGTCACTGGTCACGAAACGCTTGAATCCAAAGACACCATGAAGGGACACTGAGCCCTGTGTGACAACCCCACATTGCTAGGTCTGTGAGTCCGACACCCAGGAGTAGCCAGGCGAGGAGGTACCAGTCGGCGCCTAATTAGAATACATGATCCGTCTTCCTGACACTTCAGTGAAATGTCTGTTTCACTCTGGAGCCGCAGCTTTGTTCCGAGAAGGTTAATTGATATTCCGATGCCTTCACTCGCCATACCCCCGTGGCTTGGTTCTGTTTTATCACACATCAAAAAGGCCGTATGCTCAGGGCACTGCATGCACCAGCGCAGAGCCGGAGGTCTGCACAGCTGCCAGGGGTATGGTATCACAGGAGGGACAAGCACTGAGCAGATGTCACAGATGAAAAAAAAAAGGAAAGCAAAGAAGCCAGCCAGCCCAGGGAGCCTGGCGCGGCCCCACGGAGCTCGGCCTGATGCGGCCCAGGCCGTCCGGCTCTGTGCGAACACTGCCTCCTCTGCCCTCCTGACTGCTGTGAAAGTGCAATTAGCAACCGCACCTGGGAAGCCTCTGCTGCCCTCTGGGCCGCTGCCTTTTTGATGCGCTGCCCTTGCTCTCCTCCCCGCTCCTCCAAATGCCAGTGTGGGCACC